TAATATTATATTATATAATATTATATCTTTCACATTTATTTTTATTCCTTTTCAGTTAATATTATAAAGCAGTTAATATATATTCTGAAAGTGGTCCATTTATTTTTAAGATAAAAAACCGTTTTTAAAAAATGTGCCCATGATTCTCCACCACAATCTCTTTTAACGTTATATACTCTGTGATGGTTTTTGGAGTAATACAGACTCTTTCAGAAAATTTCATATCAGGTCACCGAGCCTACTCTTTCCTTCATATATACATCACCATCGTGTTTTAAGAGCAAGGGTTCAGAAACCAGAAATTAGGCAAGCGTATAACAATGGCTGGAGGTTGGTCTTTTCTGCTTCCGCTTTTATTCTTGTAAATCTGAATATGATTAAATGTGCTTGTTTGATATATTTAGATTTATTGAATCTTCAGTATGAATCTGTTACACATTTTTACATCTCCTCCTCTTCTTTCCTGTCCCCCCCAATTTCTCCCCTCTGATCTTGTCTCCCCTTTGAAAAACGCCGAGGCCGAGATACTTTTGCAGAGAAGTAAAAAACCCTCTGCCTCGTGTAGCTCGTGTAGCTCGTGTAGCTCGTGGCCTCGTCCTCGTATAGCTGATGGTCCTCTTTTCAGCTGGTGGTCCTCTTTTCAGCACAACCAGCAAATAAAAAAGAAGGACCCTGTGAAATGATGATGCAATGAGTGGGTTGGTGGGGAGAATTTGCAAATGGAAAATGGGTAAGGGACATAGGATCCCAACATGCACGACAATTTTCTTTTTTATCACTTAGCTTTTTTCTTATTATTTTTATTTTTTATTATATTTTTGTTATTTAATTTTTTTTGGTTTAATTAAAAAAGTATATATACAAAAAGAAAAACGAAATAAAATAAGATGAAATAAAATAGAAATAAAAAGTTTGATTTATTATAATTTTTATTTTTATTTTATTTCAAATATCCGAACAAAATTTGGGTGCTGACATAATAAATTTTTATGTTGTGTTCTATGAAAATGTATTGATTTACGTGGATCTGTGAGTGAGGATTTGAGAGATGAAAATTAAAAACAATTTCTATTAAAATGAGAAGATTAAAAACAATTCTTATTAAAATGAGAAAATTTGAGGAATGGAAAAAAAATTATAAAATAACAATAATAATTGATTGATAATGAAACAAGTGCATGTAATTATTAATAACAATAATAATAATAAAACTAATAATAATAATAATAATTATAATAATAATAATAATCCTAAAAAATATATTGCTTTAATTATTTTATTTACAAAAATAATTTTTATCTTTTTTTTCTTTATAATGTTTTTTTCTCAATAAATATATTATTAATAAATATTATTTATATTTCTTTTATTATTTAATATATTTTGATAATTTTTATTTTCTATCAATTTAAACATATTTTTATATGTGAAATCTTATACTAATTTTTATAAACTTGATTTTCAAATCTATTTCACTCACTTTCAATTTTTTCAAAAAATAACATTAAATTTATTCTCAAATTTCTTCACATTCATTTATTCCTTCTCCCTTAAACATCCCACAAGTGAACACATCCTAGAGTACGAAACCCTCAATTTATTGAGCAAACATACTTTATTACTTTTGTCTTTTATTTTGTCTGCCATGGAGAATTTTGTTATAAGAGTGAGCAGAACAAGTGAATTACTTGCAGAAGAGAAGACCAGTCTTATCGCTCTTTCATCACAAGGGTTCCGATGGATACCGCCAACAGTCAACTAAACCATAACCTTAACATGCCCCTAATCCAAGACCAAACACTACGCTGTCATGAACCCACCCAAAATCCTCAGACAGGTTCTCCAAATGTTTATGCCACCACATCTTTCCTCGGCACTTGTCTCAATGGACTCAATGCTATGTCAGGTACTATTTCTCTTCTTCTCACTCACATTGTAATTTAGGAACAAAAATATATTTAATTCAAATAAAAATAATAACATGATTGTAGTTGAAATTAGATATAAATAGTTTGAAGTTGTGATGATTTAAATTAACATTAATAATTAGAAAACAAATTATTTTAGTTATAAATTTGTTTTTAAACAAATTCGTAATAGATGTGCAGTAAAATAAAAACAAGGAATTAGATGATTTAAGAGTCTTCGAGTTATTTTAGAAATATTGTTATTTACTAATATTTAGTTTATTAAAAATTAAGAAGTGTAATTTTAGTGAATGTGTAATAATTAATATCTTAGAGAATTAAAAGGAATTAGTTTTTTTTTTTACAAAAAAATTGATATATTTGATAGAAAAATGTTGAAAATTGAATTGAGGTATAATTTATATATATATATATATAGTTATTTACATAAACAAATATAATTATTTGGTAAATTTTGTAAGAAATACAATTTGAGTTGAGTTAAAGGTGAGTAGATAATTGTGGTATAAACTTAATTAGATATGTATAAGCAAATTGAAAAGATAAAAATATTTATTTAAAGCATTGTAATTATATATATGATCTGAATATATTTAATTATGTGAGATTAATCCATAGGGTTCTGGGAACAAATTTTTTATTAAAAAAATAATTTAATTAACTGAATATGCATTTATCAAATTTATTTTCTCATCTTAATTTTTTCTTTCATCTACTCATTTTAAAGAAACAAAAAAAAAAGAAAAAAAAACCTATCTCAGTTTCCCGAAAACCAAATTTTGATTGATTTTCCGGTGCTGAAAAAAAAAACGGAGATCAAAATTCAACTATTTCAAAAAACCATGCCATCTGTGTAGTTAAAGTGCATAGGATGTTATCTTAGGAAAAAAAAAATGAAACAATGTCCTGTCAGAAAAAATTTCTTATTTTAGAGACAATCAATAATATTTATGTATAATGGATTACATGTATCTGAGAGAACAATATTTTCAATGAATCATATCACAGTAGACCTTCTATTCCTGACTGGTTCATAGTGTCTGATCCTCTTCCTTGATCGATGTCACCATCACTAATTTCTACTTCCTCTATCACATTGTTCTTCAAGCACCTCATTCTCTTTCCAATAAGATGATACTTTTTAGTACCACAGATTCCATTTCCAGTTCCCAAGTGAATTCCTAGCCAGGTTTATACTCCAAATGAAAACAAACAGGAATCAGAATGGTGATATAGACTAAAGAAATATGAAGAAAATTTAAAATTATCAAATATATTACTAATTGAGAGTAAGTTAAGATATATACTTAAACTATATTATTTTTCATTCATAATATATGTCTTTGTCTATTGAAAAATAATATGTATTGTATTCAAGTTTATTTTTATTGCGAATAAGTTTTGTATACATGTTTTCTTCTCTCGTTATTGTCAGTATGATTAATCATAGCTAGTTTATATTAAGTTATTTTTTTTACTCATGATTCTAATCTAACTTTTATCTCATTAAAAGATGCAACATTCCAAAAATACAGTCTAAAACTATATAATAGAATAATTATATTGAATAATAATACATATCAGTCTTACATTAAAACTATAGATATACGCTTACACTAGTGCAAAAAAGACCTTTAACGTCACCCTTTAGACGTCTGACCCTCAAATATCCAACGTAAAAAATGACCGGTGGCATTTTTTGTAAATAAAACAACTATTTAGACGTCGGTTATGGCAGGACCCGACGTCTAAATACTCATATATGTCGGCTCCCCCGGATAGACGCCAAAACTAAACGAAAAAGTTAAAAAAAAAAATTATTCTATTTAGACGTCTGTTATGAAGGGAACCGATTTCTAAAGCACTTTAGACGTCTGTTAATTGGGGAACCGACGTCTAAACCCTAAACCCAGAAATTTAAAAAGTTACTTTTTTACTCCGTTTATACGTCTGATCCCGCCACTCCGACTTCTGAAGCACTTTAGACTTCTGAAGCACTATATAGACGTCTGACCTAAAGGGTCTGACGTCTCATTAACGTCACCCATATAGACGTCAGACAGAGATCAGACGTTAAAAGTCCAAAATAACAGACGTCTAAAGTCTTTTTTGCACTAGTGTTATGGCCGAACGGCCTTACAGAAGAGCTAAAAACTTAAAATGTACAAGATAAGCAAATCTGACCGAACGGTTTACAAAAGCCCATACCGAACGGTCTTTCAAAACAAAGGGATAAGGTGATCGAGCGGTCAATTTACTATCAGACTACACTACTGACCGAACGTCCTACTGTTCAGTCTTAACTTCTACTTCTACTAAGTTATCTTCTTCCAACGCTTCCTCTAGCAGCTCGTCTCCTTCTGCTCACATCCACATGGATGATCATTGCAATAGAAGAACAACCGGACGTACAAAACAGACAAGACAGGAAACACGGGGTAAGCTTATGTAATTTAATTCATGTATATACATATATTTCACACAATCAACCAAACAAGATAATTCATCATTCGTTCATACAAAGCCTAATATTAGACTGACTGTCCGGACTGTATGAAATCTGTGTAGCTACGACTTTCGTGCACCCGGGTGATGTAGTAACTGGGATACCCTCAACAGTTTTCACCCGAGGTTAGTCCTATCTGTCCAAATTAACCATAAGGACTAGGACCTCCTTCCGTTCCCACACATGACTTACCCTCCTCTACGTGAGGACGAGTAATCACGGAACATCAAGATGAATCGCCAGCTTAGCATGCCCACATTCATACTTTACCAAATCCAATATACATTCATGAGTCATTCCTCCCCGGAACGCTCGTCCATAATTCAAAACATTTCATCCATCTCATATTCTCTTCATCTTTCATTAATAATCATCTCAATTAAACCATTCGTTCAAAGATCACTAAGGGTACCAAATATCGAATGTTAAACTTTAACCTTTAACTAGACCGAACACACTGAGTGTGATCGAGAGATCTCCCGTTCCAGAACAGACTAAGGCCGGGAGGGTTACTATCAGGTTGAGAAAGAAACCGAGTGCAATAGATATCGCAAGAAACGAATGGAACGAATGTTAATTACAAAGTGGGCCAATTAAATGAACTGACCCTTGTGAGCTCAAACCGAACACCGAAAAGACTATGCCAAGTGCTAATACTCTAGTCCGAAACCAATGGATACATACTCTTCAATACATCCAAGGAATAATACTTAGAAGAATTCACATGAAGAAACCGAACACTTATAAATATTTAACTTATTTGAGTTTAACATCAATAAAACCGAATGTCAGTCAATGACCGAACACGGTAAAGAGAAAACTCTATTGAAGTTGGACGAACGCTATTTTCATCAAGATAGATTATAGGAACGAGAATGAGCGCTTGGTGTAAGACCGAGCACTACTCAGTAAGAGCGCTTGGTGTAATACCGAGCACTACTAAGCTTATATTAGAAGGCTTGATAAATATAATAAGATACTATTGGAGTAGTGTTTAAGAATAAACGAAAATATACAAATATATATATATATATATATATATATATATATATACTTAAGTTTATAACCGAATACCAAGAACCAACTATGCTTGGCCGAACGTTCATGTATAGTATTTCAAAACGAAGATGCTCGTCCTCAACTAGGATTCTTCCCAAATGAAAGAATCCAATTCTAACCAAGTTTACTAGAAAAACCGAACGGTCAAGGACCATTCAGTTACGAACGTACACTCTCATAGAAGAATTTCATACTTAGAAATCATTTATCTCAATTCAATTTCTTAACATTTATCTACATAAGTGCATACAACCATATCATAGAAATTTTCATATTTCATACAATCCAAACATAGCAACCATCATATATCATATTAATTTAATCAATTCAACTAACGTTCATGCAATACAAGTAACATACAAATTAAATTAATAATTAAGATTCCCTTACCTCTGAGCATGACCGGACGTTCACAGAGGCAGAATACAGTTCACCACTACCAGTTCTTCTACCCTCAATGCTCGACAATTTTCCAACTAAACCAAGTAAAACCAAAACACTCTTAGGACCACTCATTTGGAGAATGGTGATCAACGCATGAAACTAGAACTAGGTTTGCATGTCTAGAAAAACGAACGACTAGGTGAAAAGAAAGACTTACCAACTCAGCTTCATAAACCGAACGGTTTATCTGGAAGCTCTTGATGCCGGAAGTGCTTCTACGATGGCTGAACGGAGATCGGAGCAGAGAAAGGGTGAGATTCCGTAGAGAGAAGATGAAGGAGATTTAAAGAGAAAGCGGAGAAATGAGGTTTCAGAGTTTGAAAGAGAGGTTGCATGCAGAGAGTGTGACGTGATTTTTTAAAAATCATGTTTTGCTTCCCACGTCAAAAACAAACGTCCGCTCATCTGTCGACACCTGCCATTCACCAGCTGAGTGTCGAGCCTTTCGCTTGACACATGGAATCCACTAAAATGGCACGCATGTATTTTAGTGGCTCTGACAAAAGTATTTTGTGTTTTAAAATATATTACCATTTTAATTAATTAATCTGAATTCTAATGACTGAAAATAAGTTAAAATAACTAAAACTAAAAGAATTTTTTAGCTGATTAATTCCTTTGTAAAAGTATATTTCTGAAACTAAAACGTATATAAATTGTTGGCATAACTTTCATCCATTCGTACGTCGGATCAACGACCGTTTTCTTATACTTGCAACTAATTAAAACACATGGATATTTATGAAATGGAAGGAATACCTCACTATCAAACATCTAGAATAAGAGGAACATGGGAGTGCTAACTACGCTTCTCCCCTTTAATTTTGCTAAAAGTGGGACCTTTAGTTTCCTAAAATACTCTTACACGCTTCTTTCATCTGGTAAACGAGAAAATGAATTTATCTGTCTTATCCCACTTAATGATGCAACCGCGTTCTTTTCAGTTTGCCATACTTGACTTAAATATTCTGTTTACTCAGTATGAATTTCTTCATAAATACATCAACAATAATAAATATATATCTTAATTTTTAAATATTTTCAGCTGTTTAAAAGTGTGTATAAAATAAATTTTTTGTTTATGGTAAATATTTTCTGCTCTTGTTACTCGATAGTCAACAGTCGATTAGATTTGCTGATTTGGAAAGTACTCAGAAGTTGCTTCTGTACTAGGTAGGGAAGTAAGTTCAAAAACCCGTTTAAAATAAGCTAAATACACTCATACTAGTTTGAAACAAACACGTATTGGTATGCAAAAAGGACAAGGGTATTTACTCGTGGTCCATATTTTGCATCAGGGTTTTTTTAATTGGGAAATATCATAAACGTTTCTGTGACCTTTCGAAGTTTGAAAACAACTTCAAATTTCTATGTATTTATTAGATCAGACCAGAGAGCAAATTCAAGCCACTCCAACATCAAACTTCTCACATAAAAAAATATACATCTCTCTCGTCAACAGCTATATTAGATTTCGTAAGAATGTCAAAAAAACTTTCGTACAATCCTTCCTTTAGGGTTCCTTTACTTCTCAATGATGAGGAGAAAGCCATTGCCTCTTCTGCCAAAAATACTGTATCCTTCTTTCGTACATGCCTTAATGGACTCAATACAATAGCAGGTTTAACCCCCTACAACTCATGCACTTACTTTACTTATCTAAGAGTATTTCAACACATTCAAAATATATAATCTGTTTCTTTTATAGTTGCCTCAACCTGGACGTTTATATGTGAAAACATAATCTTATACGAGGCTAATGTTTTGTTTGCGATTTTGGTTTAATTTCCAGGTGTTGGCATACTCTCGGTTCCTTATGCTCTTGCAACAGGAGGCTGGTTAAGCTTGGTTCTTCTGTTTTCTATTGCCGCTGCTGCATTTTACACGGGCCTTCTGATTAAAAGATGCATGGATAAGGACTCAAACATCAGAACCTACCCTGATATAGGTGAACTCGCATTTGGAAAGACAGGAAGACTGATAGTGTCAATATCCATGTACACGGAACTATATCTGGTTTCAATAGGATTCTTGATTCTAGAAGGTGATAACTTGAGTAACATATTCCCCATTGGAGAGGTTCACATAGCAGGCTTAGCAATTGGTGGGAAGCAATTATTTGTGATTATGGTTGCCCTTATCATCTTGCCCACGGTTTGGTTGGACAACTTGAGTCTACTCTCTTATGTATCTGCAAGTGGAGTCTTTGCTTCTGTTCTCATCATCCTTTCAATAACATGGACTGCAACATTTGATGGAGTTGGTTTTCATCATAAAGGAACTCTTGTCCGTTGGAATGGTCTCCCCACAGCTGTTAGCTTGTATGCCTTCTGTTATTGCGCTCATCCTGTCTTTCCCACACTGTACAATTCGATGACAAACAAACATCAGTTCTCTAACGTAAGTACTCACGTTAGATTATTGTCCTATATTCAAGTAAAGAGAGCACCTTTCACTTTCTTGCTTTTTCTATCTAATTAATGAATTTTACTTTTCTGAACATTGCAGGTCCTACTTGTTTGTTTTCTCCTAACCACCGTGGGTTATGCATCCATGGCTATAGTGGGTTATTTAATGTTTGGTGACGGGGCTGAATCTCAAGTAACATTGAACCTGCCTCTGGACAAACTCAGCTCAAAATTAGCAATATACACAACCTTGGTGAATCCCATATCCAAGTTTGCTTTGATGGCAACACCTATTACGAATGCTTTGAAAGATTTGCTTCCAAAGACGTACAAGAATAGGGTGACGAGTATCTTACTGAGCACAGTGTTGGTATTGAGCACCACCGTTGTTGCCCTTGCTGTCCCTTTCTTTGGGTCTCTCATGTCGCTGGTTGGAGCCTTTCTGAGTGTCACAGCTTCTATTCTGCTTCCGTGCTTGTGCTACTTGAAGATTTCGGGCACTTACAGGAAATTTGGGTGTGAGACGGTAGCCATAGTGATAATAATAATGACAGCTATTGTAATGGCAATATCAGGGACCTACATCTCTCTCATGGAAATAGCTCACAATTTATAAAGGACAATGCAGTGGTCCACTCTCTTCACTATAAATTACCAAAAAGTAAAATAGTATTTTTTTTTTCATGTGGATTGCATTTGCATTAAAGAGTTAAAAGACAGATTAAAGATGAAAAAGTGGTTGGTTAATACTTTTTTTTTTTATAATCAAAACTAATGCATCGTTATTTGAGTTCTAAATATAGAAAATGTTAAATTTTGGAGAAAAGGCGCATTAATTCAGGGCAACAAATATGTATTCAGCATAGTCCCCAAGTTAACTGTGCCTTTGGCGAGTATATGAAAAGGAAAGGGTATAGTAAAGTTAGATAAAAGAAAAATACAAAAAAATAATAAAAAAATAATGTACTTACATATGACGTCGAATGTCCTAGAATTAGACGTCAAAAAGTTATAAAACGTTGAATGACCTAAAGTTAGATGTCAAAAGGTTAGTGAATTTAATAAAAAAGTGAGCGGGAGATTGAAAATTCATTCACTTTATCTTAGGGCGAGAGACTCTATTCTCTGTTCAAACTTTTCTTGAACTAAGTTTGATAGCTATCACATGTGATATTTCTTTTATTTGATACAAATGCACGTTGATTAACTTTTTTAGGTATGATTTTCGTTTATTTTGACCAATTGTTTTTGTGTTTCTATCCTTCGTAAGCACATTCTTCTTTTTCACTAGTGACAACACTTTATTTTAACGAGTCCACCTTTTGAAGGTTTGTTGTTTTATTTTAATACTATATTATACGTTCATAGTTCATGGTGTATAAAATACCAAAAATTGGATTACATATTTGTTATTTTTCTGTTTTTCGGAGTTGTAAAAAAATCACAATTAATTAAGAACGAAAAAATTGATTAACATCATACGTTGACAATCATACATTGAAAAAGTTCGACGTCAATTTGCTATATTCGACATCAATTAAGTAAATTAACGTATGTGACGTTAGATTGTTCTGTATCTAACGTTGAGGAGTAAGATTGTAATGGATTTGAGGAGTAAGGTTGTAATGGATTGATGCTTAATCCATTTTTTTTTTTTTGTTTTGCAAGTGTTAGGAAGTAGAATGTAGAGGTGATATGTGAAGTTTGTGAACCCGTGTTGGATCTATGACTTTACTTCAATAATATTTTATTTTGATTTTTTTTATTAGTTTAAACCATTTTTTAATACTTAATACTTTTTTACCCATAAATATATTATTAATAAATATCATTTTATATTACTTTTATTACTAAAAATATTTTGATAATTTTCAACTTTTATCCCTTAAATATTTTTTTTATTATATTGATCAAATCCTATATAAACTTAATTTTCAAATTTACTCTCAATCACCTTCAAAACCTTTGAAAAAATACAATATACAATTTACTCTAAAATCCTCTCAAATTTATTTAATCACTTTTTTCTCAAATCATCCTCAAATAAACACACCCTTAATAAAAAAAATTATTTGTCCTAATAAATAAAAATGGTTTTATTTATTTTTTTAGTTTGTGATTAATAATTTTTCCTTAGGAATTAAAATTAAGAACAATTTTAAATATATATATTTTTAATATTTTAAGGTGTAGTTAAAAAATCCTTAAAAAACTCCAAACTCTAAAAGATTAATAGATTTATCAATATTAACAGATTTGTAATAAATTATAAAAATAAATAAATTGTATTTATATTTTCCAAATAAAAAATAAGAGATTAAATCCATTATTATAGAAATTAAGATATAAAACAGAATCAAAAATTTTACATATTATAATTTTAAAAAATACATATTTAATCATATTTATTATACTGAAACATTTTTAATCCATGGAGAATGGGTACTTTTTCGATACTTACGGAGGTACAGGAAAAAAGAATATATATTAAGAAAAAAATCCCCTATGAAATTCTAGCTTATCTGGATGTACGAATTAGGGTTGTGCAACAGTTGAAATATAGGGGTGTTACTGTTTTCACCGCCGCATCTTTCTCCCTTAACCTCTCTTTTATTATTTTACTTCTCAGTAAAATTTTAATTTTAGGGTTGTTATTTTTTAATTTTACTCATTCACAACATATTTCACTAATAATTTATTCTAGTCTCTTACATGAATAAAATACTTTTCTTTCATTTTAACATTATATTTCTTTCTCTTTTCTTTCGTCGTTGTGAAATACTAGAAGTTGCAAAGGTTAGTGGTGGTGGAAAGAATTATCAAGTAGTCTTCCTCTCGTGGTGCATTCGCTCTCGTGGTGCATTCGGTCTCATGGTGCAGTGCGTGTCATGCTTCCTCCAGGTGCGTATTCGAATAAACCTTGAAAACAAACCCTAAAATAAAAAGACCTTTAAACGGAGGTCACATCCTTAAACAGATGTCAACATCCCCCGTTTTTCCTTCAACGGATGTTGACATTCGTTTTTCCTTAAACGGATATTGACATTCGTTGAAGGATGTGACCTCGGTTACGTTTTTTATTTTAGGGTTTGTTTTATTAGGGGACATCCGTTGAAGGATGTCACCTCCGTTGATGTATACTTTCTCACGTTGGTCGATGCTCTGGACATTCCTCCACACCACGGCGACGACACTCCTTCACACTACGGCGACAATGGAAGCTTTCAAACCAAAAAACAATTGGGAAGAAAAAGGAATGTAAGTGTGGGAGATGGGGAAGTGAAACGGAAATGGGAAAAAGGGAAGAGAGTTTCGTGGTGGGTGCTGGAAAAGTAAAATTAGGATTTCAAATTATTTAAAATAGGGTAAAAGTAAAAAAATTTTAACTTAAGGATATAATTGTATTTAAAATAATATGGGGAGGTGGAGAAAGTATAAAGTGGTAGTGGAGGAAGCAACATCTGAAATCTAGTTCAATCGGCCCAAAAATTTCTATCCAACTAAGTCATCGGCTTTAGGGTGTTTATCCAGCACCTCCAAAGCTTTTTTTTTTTCATCTCCAATTTTTTAAAAAAATTTACCACTAATTTTGATAATCTATTTTAACTTTTTGTCTCTCCTAATTAATTGATGGAGCATCTTCTTCTTCATCTTTGTTAATATCGATGGAAACTCTCAACAGATTTTAAAAGATTTCAAAATTAGTTAAAAATCTCAACGATTTCCGAAATCCATTATAAAGATTTAAATACCATTAAATTTTTTTTATAAATTTCAAAGTTTGTTGAATAAAAATCTTTAACAGATTTTAAAATTTATTCATATCTTTAATGAATTTCGTAATCAGTTAACAACTTCAACGAATTTTAAAACACATTTACATGTTCACCCCATTTTATTTTAATTTTTCAACATTTTTCGTTTTTAATTTTTAAAATGTTTTTTATTTATTTTAATTTAATAAAACATATTTTAAAATAATAAAATGTTAACATATATTAAATTAAGATATGTATTATTAATTTTTAAAATTAAAAAAAATAGGATGTGGAAATCCTTTAACATATGTTGTAACATCCCAAAAATACAGTATAAACTATATAATAGAATAATTACATTTACCAATAATTCAGATCAGTCTTACACTAGAGTGAAGCGAACACTGATGGTCGAACGACCTTACATAAAAGAGTTACAAAATTAACTAAACAGGTTAAGGAAGTTTAACCGAACGGTTTACAAAACTTATACCGAGCGGTCAAATAAAATCAAAAGGGGAGGTGATCGAACGACCACCTTACTATACTAGACTACTGACCGAACGTCCTATTGTTTGGTCTTCACTTCTACTTCTACCAAATTTTCTTCTTCCCGCGCCTCTTCCAGCAGCTCGTCTCCTTCTGCTCACATCCACACGGATGATCATTGCAATGACAAGGACGGACGTACAAAACCAAACAACACAAGGTAAGCTTATGTAATTTAATTCATGCATAAACATACATTTTTAAACAATCCAACATACAAGATAAATTTCAACATACGTATCATACAAAACCTATTACTAGACTGACTGTCCGGACTGTATGAAATCTGTGTAGCTACAGGCGTTCGTGCACCCGGATGATGTAATAACTGGGATGCCCTCAACAACTGCCACCCGAGGTTAGTCCTATCTGTCCAAAGTACCCCTAAGGACTAGAACCTCCTGTCGTTCCCACACATGACCTACCCTTTTCTACGTGAAGACAAGTACTCACGGAACATCAGGATGAACAGCCAGCTTAGCATGCCCACAGTCATACTTTACAAATTTCAATATTCATTCATGAGTCGTTCCTCCCCGGAATGCTCGTCCATAATCCACAACATTTTCATCCCTATCATATTTCCGTATCTTTCATTATTATTCATCTCACTTAAACATTTTTCACCACGATCCGTAAGGGTACTTAACACCGAACGTTCAACATTGATGTAGGATGAGACCGAACACTTGAAGCGAGACTAAGAAGTCTTTAGTTCCAGAAGGGACTTAGACTAAAGAGTACTGTCGTGTTGAGAAAGAAACCGAGTACAATCAATTATCAAAATAAACGAATGGAACGAGCGTTATTTAAAAGTGCGTCAATTCGATGAATTGACGTTTGAGGACCTCAACCGAACATCGAAATGACCATGCCCGGTACTATGGCTCTATGTTGTAACCAATGAATACAGACACTTCGAGACTTTTCAAGAAGAAGACTTAGGATAATTCTCATGAAGAAACCGAACGATTATGAAAACTTAACTTATTTGGGTTTAGTATATAAAAATTCGAATGACAGTCAAAGACTGAACACTCTATTGAGCGATCCTAGTGGACTTGAGCGAATGCTCTTATGATGAAGTTTAGCTTAAGGAGTTAGAACGAGGGCCTGGTGTAATACCAAACACTTGCTTAGGACGAACACTTGGTATAAGACCAAGTGCTACTAAACTTAAAGAAAAGAGGCTTGATAAATATACTAAAATACTATTAGAGTAGTGTTTAAGAATAACTAATATATACAATTACATATATTTATAGAATTTAAGTTTATCATAGAATACTCAGATACAACTACGCTTGGCCAAACGCTCAAGCATAATATTACCACACGAAGACGCTCGTCCTCAACTAGGATTCTTTCCAAATGAAAGAATCCAATTTTAACCAAGATTACTAATATTACCGAACGGTTAATGACCGTTCAATGACGAACGTTCGTTATCATAGGAAAATTCATA